ACATAACTAAGAGTTTAAGCTCTAAAATAAATTTTTACATGATTAATACATCCACAGAACACAATAACATTGAAACAACATTTTATCCCTTGTTTTTCTTGCTGAATGAACCACATATCTTGGCTATTGTGTTTTTTGACAAAATATTTAAGCATTTTAAGCGCTGCCCATCTATTTTGTCCCACTCGTTAAAATTCAGCAGCTCAACTCTGCCTATTTTATCATTCAACGGCCACATTTCTGAGCTGAATAACTCCAAGTGTAATGTCGATAATTAAAGTGCTACAGAATAGTATCTCAGAAGCATATGCAGGTAGAACAATATAATTTAAAAGTGCTTTATAAATATTTATTTAAAGAGTTTCTCCAGGATCAAGCATTTTCAGATTTAGTCTGTACAACAGATGTATGTTAATTAACATTCACCAGAATTTGATAATAGAAATCCTTAAGGTTTTTCAGTTTGCTTAAAAATTGTAGAAGTCTCCTTTGATCTCCTGTGGTTTTTTGCAAATGCTGTTAGTCTTTGGAGAGCTTCTGACAAACCTTCTCCTGTGATGGCACAACAGGGTTGTACATACCAATTTCTGTCACTGCAGTACTTCTTCATGTTGAATCTCCTGGTTACTTCCTCAGCGTTCAAAGCTCCAGGCAAATCCTGTTTGTTTGCTAGCAGAACTACTGGTACGTTTTTTATAAATTCATTCTTTAAAATGAGTTCAAATTCTTTCTTCGATTCTTCCAGACGTTGCTTATCAGAGCTATCCACAACGTACAGAAGCCCATCTGTATTTTCCAAGAAATTGCACCAAAGCAGCCTCATTTTTTGTTGTCCTCCAACATCCCAAAAGGTCAATGCAAAATCTCTCTCAGTTTCAATCATATCAACGTTAAAGCCAATTGTTGGAATTGTTTGAAAAACATTGTTGTACTTTAACTTGTAAAAAAAAAAGTTGAGATTTTCCGGCTGAATCGAGTCCTAACATTAATATATTGCCTTGTTTGACTTTGGAGTCTTTAGTGTTGTGGAGGCCCATTTGTGCTGTGGTATCCTGTAGTAAGCCTTTAAAGACGGTATTTGCTGTCTTCTGTGAAGCCAATTTTTGTCAGTAAGCCTTCTTTCTTCCTGTGTGAGATGAAGCACAAAGCGTAAGGAAGAGGAAGAGGAAGAAGCAGCTTTGTGTTATGAAAAATAAATAAAAGCTCTCTACAAATACATTCTGGCTTTTATCAAGTTGATAAAAAGCAAATGATATTTACAAAGGTGTAATGCTCAGTGCCAAGCCTGTGGGTGGAACGACTATGAGTAATGTACTCACTGGTCACAGGGCCCAAAGGTTACAGTGTTTGAACGTGTTTGAACAGTGAACCATAGTTGCACGATCATCTGAACCATAGTTGCACGATCATCTTTCTCTAGAATTTAAAAACTATCTATTACAAAATTGCGTATGCTGAACCAGCAGTGGTCTGGTTATACTCCATAATCCCATGATCTAGGAATCATTAGCTCTCTCCCACTGTTTCAGAGTATATACCCACAGAGAAATCACTTTATTACTCTGTCAGCATCCTTTTTGGGACGGAAACCTGATATAAACAGAACCATTGAGGGAGAGGAGTTCTTACAGGTTTGTCCATAATTAACAGTCCATGAAATGACAAGGTATCTGACTTTATCAGTGTATCTCATCTCCCAGCAACAGCTTAGTCTCAAGTGGTTTCTAATGTAAATCTATATAGATACATGGACTCAATCAACCATAGCAGAACTTGATTTAAAAATGTATTCTGCTCTAAAAGTGGCCAACTTTTACTCTGTAAGGTATTCTTCCTGCTCATTCATACGTTAGGCTGTCTGCTTTGATTGTAGTTTTAGAGGTGTAAACTCGATGAGTTATGTTTTTATGAAAAAGTTTGTTAACTGCACTCTGCATGTTGGAGATTAAATCTGACAGGGCTTATGGTCTGGTCATGGCTTGAGATTCAGCTACCTGAAATGAAAAATATATATTAGCTTCATTATGATCTGTTCTGCTATTGCACGCTGATATTATGGCCAGGATTTCCTACAAGAAAGGAGTAAGAAGAGGGGAAGTAACTGACTCTCAATCAAAAGATCACTTTTTGCCAGCATTCTAAATAGTAGAGAAGATTAAAAGTTGAGTCTAATGTTACTTAATTCATATTGAGGTTCAAGTCCTTTTGACACCTACTAGATCCACGTAGGGCTAGTATAATGCAGACTGGTTATTTTTGCAATATTTATTTGCCCTTATACTCAGATGGACTAGTAGTTAGTATTACCGCTTGCCTTTGCTTCAGTAAGAGCAAAAAGATGTAAAGGCCAAAGCTAGCCAAATGAACCGCTGACTGATAGGGCAATCATTTTGATAATTATGACATTGGTTGCCCAGGTGTTATACCTGTTCTGTAAAATAAACCTCTTAACTTGATAGCCAAGTTATAAACTGATCTCTCTTCCAGCTGAAATGGTTGTAGCAGAACTCCTAATTGGGGACAATAAAAGATTACAGTGACATACTCAATGTAGGACTGTTGTACATTTTTCATATTTAATAACATGTATAGATTATGTTTAGGATTTCTTTCTAGAGAAGATCATGATACATTAAACCATGGAGGAAAGTGTTTGCCTTTCTTTATAAATAATGTATATGAATGAATTGAAAGATGGGGAGATAGGAAAGTATGCAAAGCACATTGTTAACATAGTCAAATGAATCATAATTCCCTGCAAAATAGCATGTCATTTCCTTTGAAAACTGGTTATCTTGATGAAGGGCAAGACTCCCCTTCTGTGCAAGCTGTGATGGAATGGATGGATGATCTGTATCTCTGCCTAGTGGTGTGCTCTAAAGATAATTTACAGTTCTCTGCTCTATAAGTTTGTTCCAACTGTATGTGATATTTACGGTCTCAGCTATTATTTAATTAAATCAGACTGTCGCTTTAAAGAAGCTCAGTAAGCGACGCTTGACTTTTTACAAGTGAGTTAAATTTATTTCTAGGACAGAACAGCTAGTTTTTGAAGATGCCATGTTGTTGCAGTTTTTAACTGTACCCGAGTCAAACATTAGTTTGGTTCAGATACAGATTGGGTGATTCAGGCTCGCTTCTAATAATAATTTCCTGTGCTACTCTAGAGTATAAAAACTACAGTCTAAATAAGGGTGGATTCCCGTCAGTCAGTCTGTGGCATACTAGTAAGATCAAAACAGAGCCTTTTTCAGCTTCCTAAGATGCAGAGCAGTGCAGCCTTCAGCATACAGATCTCGGAGGTGTCATTCGCAAGGGCTGTGCGACTCCTTGCACAAAGACAACCAAGAGTTGCAACTGAGCTACATTCAGCCAGCAGATTTTAATTTGTAATCGTTAAGCAGTTTGGAACTGTAGTAAACATTTGTGCAGACCACTTCACAGATTTAATCCCAAGTTATTTAAGGAAGTGAGCAGGGCAGCAAAATGATGGCATTTATTGAGAATAGCATCCTTTCTGGATGCTATTTTATGCTTCCGTAAGGCGACATCTTTCAGAAGGTCACGCACAGCTTTCACCTATAGACACATGAACTGAAACTTGAGGTGTAAATCTGGAGCAAACGGTACTCTGACATACAAAAAGGCTGGGTAGTTCAAACCGTAAGAAGTGATCTACATTTGCACAGAAAGACAAGTGTATGAAAAAAGGAGAAACTACCTTTGACTTGTCCAAAACTGAATTTGCTTAGTAGGGGGTGAGGCTATTTTGCTTGTAGGGTTTGCCTTTGCATTCAGTTTCAAAAACCCATCGTAATAAAACAAAAATCGGGACAGCTGATCTGCTATGGATTAGTCTGAACTCAGAAATTTCACACAATAAACTTTTCCAACTCAACTACCTAGATGTCTATCTCCCTCCAGGTGGACCTGAGACCGAAACTCCTTTGACTGCTGGCCTGGACATTTACATCGCAAGTCACTACGAAGAGGGGAATACCACAGCGCATTGCAAAAGAGGCATCCAAACAGCATCTCAGAATTTAGTAATGACTCACCATCTTCCTCATTTCTGAAAACCATCTCCTAGCTTAAATGGGAATTTTTGTGAAATTCAGGCTATTTTCTCCAATCTCTGTCAAACCAGGATATTACGTAAGTAGTACATGCTTTTAAAATAGAGCTATATAATAATTTAGGGGTGCTTGGGAGTGGGTCTTCATGAAGATCAAGTGCCATCTGAAAGCCTGCGTCTCTTCTCCCCTAGGATCCACAGACTTTGATCTCACACCTACAGTGGTGCAGTTTTTTAAAAGCGACCGTGGTGGAGTCTGCAGTGGAAGGGACCACGTGCACTGCGAGGAGCAAATCGGGGAGGTAACAGACCGTGTTGAGGGGGAAGGCCAAAATGCCATTTGTTACACCTGAGGCCTGTTGCGGGCCCTCAGGAGGAGAAGTCGGAGCCTTCCTGCGAGTAATTCTTTGCGGTTAGCCCCGACGTCCACGCCGTATCCTGCAAGGAGGATGACGTTTCTCGGCATCTGCCACAGCCTGGCTCTGCAGCTGCCCCCCTCAGCACTCAGCCACGGCTTCCTAAGGGCGGCCCCG